CAAAGAGTATCCATAGTGACACAGTAGGGAGACACACACCCCTCTCTGCATCAAGGAAACAAAGCACAAGTGTCAGAAACTCATTTTAAACTTGAGGGATTAAAAGTGGGTAAAATTGTTCAAATAAAAACAGAAACCTTTTAAATACAGCCTGATAGAATTTTTACATAAAAAAAAAAAACAAAAAAAAAAAACAGGTGTAAACATTTCTGTAATACGGATCTCTGATTTGTCTTCTGATTTCTATCACCGCACTATTATCAGTAAGGATTTAGTGTGCCCTGAAGTAGACTCAACCCATTGTTTCTTAGCAGAACTGCACTCCGAACATTCAACACCAAGCTGTGGGGTGCAACAAGATATTTATACTCCTATGACATGCTGAGAGTCTGAATGTCACTGATGAGTTCAGAAAGCAACTGGGAACCACTGCGTCCCTCCCACCAACAGGCTCTTGGATTTCAATCTGACACCTGGCCTTCGGTCAACGCAGGCAGACGTCACTAAATCAGTCCGACAGGTAATCTGCAGAGCGCAGCGCGCTTATACCCACCATTCAAATTATTCTGAAATAAATCTTGTTTGCAAGTAAGCAAACACAACGCAGTGGTTTTAAACAATACCCACTTCTCTTTTTGGAAAGTATTCAAATGAGACTTTGATGGGAAACGACAAAAAGGATGTTTAGTACATCTCATAAATGAACTGATATTGTCTTCCTTATTTTTGCAGCTAAAAAGAAATGAAAGTATCTGCTAAAAGATCTGATTGACAGAAGAAACCTAGCAGAAAAAAAAAAAAATAAAAATCTTATGAATTTGTTGAATTTTCACCTTGGTCCAATCCAACATTGAAACTAGGAAATGTTAATAAAATCAAAACATGGAGAACACTTACCTGTGTGCCAAACATACTGCACCCACACATAGGTACTGGCAGCAAAGAATAGCCATTGCACCGGGATGAAGAGGAGGCAAATGATGTCCGAGGTAAACGCCACACAAACAAAGAATACTGAAAACGCCTGAGACAGAAAGGAGGGGTGATAAGAAAACAGGCAAAAGCCTTTTAATATTTAGAATCATGCTTACAGATCTAAAGAAGAATAATTAAATTGTTTAACAAAGGCTAAAAAAGTGGAAAAGATTATTTCAATGATATTTTTTATAGCTCTGAAAGAGATCATTTAGTTAACCACTGAAGCTTATGTAAATACAGTATAATATCTTTGGTTCTCTGTCTAGCATCATATTGAGAAACAGCAACACAAACAAACACCTACACAAAACATTTGAACAAGAACATGCTGTAGACGGGCTTTAATGCATCAAAGGCAGAGTAGATGCTATTATAACTTAGCAGTAGCATACATTATGAATATATAAACATGACTACAGAAGTGCAGCCATGGTCGGAGCTAAATTCTGTCATCAGATAGGAAAAGGCAGCCAATGAGATTTATAAAAACAAAAACAATGTTTTGAATTTAATTGAAATTACAGCAACACAATTTGGCAAACAGGGTTTTTTTTTCTTTTATCTTTGTAGTAAATAAAAACTGAAATTTACGCCAAGCATACTTTTTGGCCATGTCTCTACAAGTAAATCTATAATAATAATAACAAAAGTTTGCTAAGACGTGACTGGGTGCACGGTGAAAGTGAAACTCTTTCGGATAAACTTTTGGTACGACTAATTCTCTATCTAGAATTCCCCTAAGCACCAGAAAAGGAACTCGGGAAGATGTTAACGCAGAAAGTCAAGAAGAAAAATTACCTTAAATTCAATGACTTGATAAAACTAGCTGGGTTTCCCCAAATACATACTTTGAATATGTGTATATAACTGGGCTGACTTGACTTTATATTTCTGCATATAAATCAGTTCTATACATATTGCAAAGTGCCTTAAGATGGCATTTGTTGTGAATAAATATTAATAAACTTAAATATTTTAATTGAAGTTGTTAAGGATTTACATGGTGTTGCTCAATTTGCTCTCTCTTTTGTTTTGTTTTTTTTGCCATTTTGTATTTTTTTCTGCTTATGTATCACTTTGTACCCCATGAGAACATTTCGAAGCTACTTATTTTCCTTTGTCCTCTTTGCCATTTGTTCTACTTTAACCCATGTCTTCAGGTTCAAAATGGATCCATCTGCTCCACAATGTTTCATCACAGCTATGAGTCAATAACCACCCGACAGGGAGACGTTGTGAACCCAATTTGATTGAGAATTGAAAGTAATTTTCTATAATTTACTCAAAGTCTACTGAAAGGAAATGTGGTTATATGACTCTAATGGTAATATTATAAACTTGTACGCAGTGGTCTATCCGTTTATGTTTAAAATGGATTTTTAAAAATTGATTGTTTTCCTGCTCGAAATAGAAGGGAGGGACAAAGTGACCCAGTGCCTATTTATAACATCTATACTAAATGTTTATGCTTGTTTTATGTCTGCCAAACATCCAGTCTTTAATCCACCAGGCTGACACACTAATATGCACATTCGTGTCTTAGTTATGAGAGTTATTTATTGTTTCTAAAAGTCCTCTGTAAAATTGATTTTCTGGGACCATACCAAGTTTGAGTTCATGGTTTTTTTTAAGTTTTTTTTAAAAAAAAAAAAAAAAAAAAAGTGCAAATCCTAATCCAGAGCAACTCACCAGTCCCTGGTATCTGAAGGAGTCGTACACACTCCGCATGAAGAGCCAAAACGGCCAGAGGTACTCAAACCTGAACTCAAGCACAAAGTCTGCCAGCAGCACCAGAGCCCACACAACCAGGAACTTCAGGTACAGGAAGGTACTAAAAAAATAAGAGAAGAGTCACATTTTAGCTTGAAAACACACAACATGGTTTTGAACAATGCTAATAGTAATCCTAGACTTTGGCACTTAAAACACTGTAGTTCCCTTAAGTTTTCTTTTTTTTTTTACTTGCATACATAAACTTGGCATCATGTAAAGTTCTTTTAATGCGCTTTCAAATCCTATTGTCTTTTCATAACTACTCGAATGAATACATTCATATTGACTTGTGTGCATGGGATCAAGCCTGGCAGAATAATTTAAGAGATGCACTTTGTTCAAGCATCTTATGTTAAATAATATATAAAATACAGACATACTAATGAATCCTAAGAGCTAGGCCAGGACATGTTAACGATTATCAGGGTATGACAGGGTGACTTCTTGACAGTGGTCCTAACTCATTAATGCTGTATTTTTTCGCCTTTTTCATTTTAAAAACCATATTTATTTGTATGATTACAGTTGATTTGTAAGCCTTTTACCGTTTCGTGATGTGGGCGCCATCTCAATAATTTAAAGGCTGCTCCATATCTCCAGACTTTGGAGCTAGCGGTTGTTGACTGATCAGGTATAAATATAGGAAGTCACAGAGGTGGAACCTGCCAGGTTCAGTTTGGACAGCTCAAGAGTCCTACAAAGCCCTCCTCTGAGGTTGCTAAACAGGAAGCAGCTACATTTGACAGCACCGAGCGATGAAACTTTAACATTTAAAAACGTTAGTCTGGGCTGTTTGGTTACGATAATCTACATAGCTACAATAAAATAAACATAATGACATGGCTCAAAACAGGCTGTACTGGGGCCTAGCAGCTGAGTTAGCTCAACTGCTAATGTTACCTGCTGGTGTGCAGCGAAAAAAACTATATCTAGCTTCAATAACAGCCTGTCCCGCCGAGGTAGTTCACTCTACGGGGGCCAAACCTCGCCAGAGTCGTGGTGGACACTTGTTCCGTATAAGTTACCTGCCGTATATCCCCTCGGTGATTCGGTTCCGTTTTAACGGCCGTCTTAGTTTGCTGCAGTCCGCATTGCGCCGCTTCATCCTCCTCCCCTTGGCTTCGGCCTTCGAATAACAGCTGTAATCTTATCCAGTTTTCTTGCGTATACTGACAATGATAATAAATAAAATGCCTGTGGTGTGTGTTGCTGTTGTTATTATTATTATTCCCCCCCGCTGAACACAAAGAAATAAATAAAGGACTCAGTTCGGGATCCTCCTCTTTTTCTCTTAGCGCACGCTCAATAAGCACAAACCGCGCTGTGTTGTACATACGTGACGTTGACAGACTCACTGGACATCCAATCAGCATTTCCACCGAGGCTTTCTTGTTTAACTGACGGGCTTGTTAGCCAATCACGTTTCACCAAAGAAGCTCGCTCAGCTCTCTTCTGTCACAAACAACGGTGGCAAGCCATGAAAACTGCGTTTGGAAGGTCTCGCCAATCAGCCAATCACATCTTTGCAAATAAATCCGGTAAAGCTGATTAACCAATCAAATACTGGAAGGGGCGGGATATTTTATGGAGGCTTTGGGGTTTATTATGAGAAAAATATGCAGTCTTCGGTACAAAATTCTCTTTGTGTGACTTACAAAAACCCCCATTCCAACAGTTGGAGCTATTTATAGCAGTGCCTTTGTGAGCGGGTCGTTGAGGGACTGGGCCCAAGGCGCTGAATGCCTCTGTGCTTTGTGAAAGGTTAAAAAGTGTGCACAGGGAAAACAAACGTGTCGGAAAAGAGGGGTAATTTTATTGCTGCGAGAATAAAGTGAGAAAACGTTCCTATATATATAATAAAAGGCAGATGGTGGGAATTTTCCTTTTTGAAAAGGCTTAATTAAATTAACTCTTCTGAATTAATCAATTAGTTTTTGTAATCTGATGATTTAATTATTGAAAACGATGGATATAATTGTATTGCATCTAATAAAGAAGTCGTTCACATTTATAAAAAAATGCTAAGAGTGTTATTTTAAATTTGAAATATTTAATGAAAGTTAAAAAAAACAAATGTATTTTATTTTTGTAAAATAGTTATTGCACCAGTTTGTATTAAATTGCTAGTTTTTTTTTCAGAATCGATTACTTTTTTTTTCTTATTTGAAATATACTGAAGATTTTTGTCACCATTAAAAAATAAATAAAAATAAAAAAAATAGATACAGACTGTCTTTCTGTCCAGCAGCTGATAAAGAGCTGTGCTGGTTGCGCCCAGTTTCAAACCGTCGTGGCCACCGATTATGAGTCTGAAGTGAAAGAACTATGCAGAAAACAAACAGCCACCCCCAAAATGGCTCCTCAATACGCTCCTAGTCTGCGTTCCCGTTTGGCTCCTTTACTGCTTATTCTGCAAACTGGATTCATCATCATAGCTGCACTGTGCTTTGAAACCAAAGAAACCAACAAACTCGACAGGAAACCCTTCCTCCACTATTACCCAGGTGAGTTTATTTATTTCTTTGGGAGCAAGAATGAAGACGGCTTAGGTTCCAAATATTGAATTGTATTTCAATTTAATCAAATAACACATAATAAAAATAGCATTTTTAAGAAACTTTGCCTGCCTTAAAATGCAAAATCAACTTAATAGATCTTGCAGATGTGACTAATGGGTGGCAGCATGGATAAGTTTATTTGTTACACAGTTACTAATTATAGTGCATTTATTGGATTTAATGTCACAGGGTTTCTGTTGTCTTCCAGAGTTCCAGGATGTGAATGTGATGGTGATTCTTGGTTTTGGCTTCCTGTGCACCTTCCCAGTTCGGTATGGGTTCAGCGGCTCTGGGTTCAACCTCCTAGTTGCCATCATTGCCACCCAATGGGCTCTTATACTGAACGGCATTGACTCCTGGTACAACACCAAGATAATCAGAATTGATTTGAAAAGGTAAGGTATGGTTAGTGGATTTGTTTTAGTTATACAAACTATATTATAAAGATTTATTAAGTGCTATATTTCAACTACTTATTTCTGTTCATTTTCAAAATTAGGGCTTACAGCTCATGAAGACCCAAAATTCCCTTCATTAGAAAACTACAATATTATATATTACCAGTTTTAACTAATTACTGTACAAAAAAAATAAATCCTTTTTTAACACATATATGTTAACAACATGTTGGCATGCTATGTTGACCTACACAAGCATGATGATTTCATATTTCCCAGTAGAGCATCCCTGCTACCTTCCACATAGCCTACAATGGGCCCAAAAGGTCATTGCTAAACAAGTTGACTGTACTCAGAGTGCTGTATCTAACCCTATTAATGGAAAGTTGAGTGGAAGGAAAAACAACTATAGAAATCAATATTAATATTGTATTAACATATTTCAGTAACATCCTTATTTACACTGCACCTTTGTATTCAGATTTGCACCACTCTAACCTTTCTGCCATTGATGTTTTTGTGTAGCATTATAAAGGCAGAGTTATGTGCCGTTTCTGCACTCATTTCAATCGGAACCGTACTGGGAAAGACAAACCCAGTCCAGCTCACCCTGATTGCCCTGCTGGAAGTGACAGGATTCGTCCTGAATGAATGGCTCCTCCAGACGCTCCTGAAAGTAAGATTCTGCTTAGAAAATCTTCAGTATATTATGCATGAGTGAGGACTAGGCGCAAAAGTCAGATTCTTACAGCAGCTCATATATTTTAAACACATTCTTTACAAAAGATTATAAAAGTTGTCATTAGCGGCTGATGTTTTCTGGCTCCAGGTGCGGCCTCCGAACAGCATCATGTTGCTTCATGTCTTCGGGGCCCTCTTTGGACTCATGCTGACGTGGATCCTGTACAGAGATGGCTCAAAGCAGGGATTTGAGAAGGAGAAATATGACGAGAAATCAGGATTGTTCTCAATGTTGGGTGTGTAACAGACTGATATTGAGACATTTCAATGTCATATTGTGGCATTTAAGTCAGTGTCAATGTCTAATTGGATCCATAACAATTAACCTTTTGATTTTTGATTCCAAGTGCAGCATCAAAATACTGGAGATAAATTGAACTGTGCATTGTCTTTGCTCTCCAGGCGTTGTGTTTCTCTGGATGTTTTGGCCCAGTTTTAACTCGGTACTGGTGGATGATCGAACCCGTCTGAAAGCGGTGTGCAGCACCTACCTGGCCCTTGCCGTTAGTGCTGTGACAGCAGCCGCTCTGGCTGTGCTCTCCAGTCCCAGGGGAAAACTCAACCTAGTATGATGTGATCCTTTGCATGCTCATACACTATTTTGCAACTTTCTGTACAGCTTCAGGACACACTTCTTGAGCTTGTTTTTGTACCAGATATAGGAAAATAATTAACTTGGCCACTATATTTGATATTTTTTGCATAATTTCCTCAACCAGATCCAAATGCAATCATGCATCCTTTCGGGCGGCGCTGCTGTTGGGGTTTCGGTGTCGGTAGTTCAGCAGCCGTGGGAAGCCATGGCACTCGGATTCACTGCTGCCATATTGTCAACCCTGGGATACAGATATCTTAAGGTCTTTATCTACCTGTACCTAAGCACTTTATTTTCTAAAATCTACACTTTAAACTTCTGCTCAACATTATTTTTTGTTTCAGACCCACTTGCTGATTGCATTTGAGTGCCATGACACCTGCGCTGTTCTGAGCACACATGGACTTCCTGGTCTGCTGGGGTGGCTTGCACAACTGGTCCTGCAGATTAAAGACTCTGATGACCACACTGTGTAAGAATGCACTCAGCAATCGCAATGCAATAAAAAAATAAATAAATAAAAAAATACGCAGCACCACAAAATAATTTTTGTTTCGTTTTAGGGCTGTCCGTTTTGCTGTGTTTCACATCTGCACTCTCTTTACTACCGTCTCTTTAAGTTTGTCCATGGGAACCCTAACAGGTATGTTTGTTCATAAGTTAGCTATATAGTCATTACACTCAATGTGATTTATTCTAAGCTCATTAGTTGGGTTGATTTTGATGATATGGCTTACAGCTAATGAAAACCTAAGATGTAGTTTCTCTAGCTATTAGAACATCACAGTTTAAAAAAAATTTGTTCAGAAGTGAGCATGTAACATGGAGTATATGGACTTAACACTTGGTTGAGGCTTCATTTAGCGTGAGTGCAGCATGGCATGGAGGCATCAGCATACGACTCTGCTGAGGCGTTAAAGAAGCCCAGTGTGCCTTATCAACATCCTTCAACTTATTTGCTGGTCTCTTATTTCCTTTTGATAACAGACCAATGCGCGCACCAATCATATCCAATCATATAGTCATTAAATCTGATCCCGGTGCTTTTAGCTGTACGGGCAGATGACAAATCCTGCTGGAATATAAAATCAGCGTTTCCATGAACCTCATCAGCAGAGGGAAGGATGTTATGTTCTAAAACCTCCTGGTAAAGTACTGTGCTGACTTTTGTTACTTTATTCTTGATTACAAAAAAAATAAAACTAAATAAACCCAGTAGGTGCCATGGCACCTCAAAATGTCACAAAATGCAGAAATTTAACACTGGACCTCAAGAAGCTTTGCTTCTTTCTCTCTCCACTCTTCTTCCAGACTCTGGGGCATTGATTTCCAAATGAAATGACAATCCAACTTTCATCTGAAAACTGGACTTTAGACCACTGAGCAACAGTCAGGTCCTTTATCTCCTTAGCCACAGTAATATAATACTGATGTTGGCTCTGGTTCATGAGTGGCTTGACACAAGTAATGCAACAGCTGCTGCCCAGGTCATGGATATGCCTGTGAAGCGTCTCTTGAAGCACTGACTCCACAACTTTTGAACTTCCACGAAACTCTTTAATTTACTTTGCCTCACAACCCTTATGTGACTGCTGTATCTTGTTCACCCATTTCTACCACACTTTTTCCTTCCACTCAGCTTTCCATGATCAAGTCTGGGTACAGCCCTCTTGCTAGAATTTTTTGGGGCTCACCCTACCCTGGCGAGCGTCAATGACTGATGGACAATCACATCAATCATTGTGTGGGAACAACGTAACATTTCTACATAAGAAATACTTTTTTTTTGGTCTGTAGTTTTCAGAGAAACTGACTTTTCATTAGATTATATATACATATATACACACACACACAATATATAGATTATTTAACATTATATAGATTATTTATTACTATTATTTATTAACTATTATTAGATTATTTAACATTGTGTGGAATTAATATGCATATTATAAGTTGAATGTTTTGATATGAATTCATTTTGAATGACATTTTGAGATGGCCCTGACTGACGTTGAAAAAACTGAAAGAAAAATGCCAACTTAAAATCAAGCTTCAGCATTCGTAAGCTAATTTTAACCAAAATACTTTCTGTCTTAAAGCCTTTCTCCTCAAGTGGAAGTTTTGGAGACCCCCACAAAACAAAAAATGCTTTGATGATCAGGCTTTCTGGGAGGTATTCACACATAAATCTCAAAGGAAAAAAAATATCAGAAACGATCAAAACTATTTCAGAGAATCACATTAATTTCTGTTATGTGAACTTGATGTTTTGCGTTTTGCAGTTTCCCAACCTCGTGGTACGGAAGTGAGAAGATGAAGGAAAAAGATGATCAGCTCTCATTTTGGATATGGCATTTCTACATTAATCTTTGCTACTGATCATAACTTTTATAATTTTGTTTTTCTGAAGAGTAGAAATTAGTTGTGTTTGTGCGAGAGAAATAAAAAAGGAAAGGCTGGATGATGAAAAGACAAAAGCCAAACTCATTTACAGCCCAGTGTGTTTAATGATGCCGTTACTGGAGACTGACTCAATGATTTACAGGGAAATAACAAAACTGAAATCCAAAACTCTGTTAAAGCAACACCACCTTATAGTTCTGAAACCCTCTATTGTGGAAGAGTGAAATTCAACATTTAATCTGACTTAATATAGAGCAGATAACCCGTTAAAGCTGAAAACATTTTTCAAACCCCATATGGATACATTCAATAATAATTAAAATCATTCTAAAGTATCACCTGCAAATTGCACCCAATTCAAATCTCCACCCGAACAGTTCAAATTAAAAGGATGATCTGTTAAAGAAGTGAGCCGACCCAAGGGAATGTTGCAGTAAAGCTCTGCTATATACATTTTGGTATACACAACTTGTAAACCATAATAAAAACATGGATACAGTCTGAGTGCAAACACACATTTAAAGATGTGCCACCAATGAAAGTCCTTAAACTTTACAGAAATCTATGACAATTTGTGCTTAGTTATGGTGTAGCTACAATGCAGCAAAGAACATAAATTACACATTTTAATGAAAAAGCTAAAAAAGGTTTATATTTAAATGGATGACAGCTAAAGAATATCGTCTCATACAATATAGAAAGAGTGTTTAACCATGGACAGTTAGTGTTTTACTGCCAGAGATCCTCTGTGCGCCCAAACTTGAAGACCAAGCCTCTAAATAAGAGAAAGCGAAAAGATAATGAGCATCATGTTTCTTTTTGCTAATTGGATTGAATAAAAGATACAAATAATTAATGACAAACTTACCCAAAGAAAATGAATGCATTTTGGAAAAAAATGGCAATACCAGGATACACAGCAGGCTTCTCTGCAAAAAACAACAATTGTATATAAAGATTATCAAACCGTGATACTTTGTGAAGTACAATTAATGTAAAAGTCTTAAACTTTTACTTGGATCTAAATTACCTGCTGAGCACTATATGGCAATATCATAACTCCCACTTACGAGGCACTACGAATCCTCCAAAGAGAATCCACATGGAGGCAATGAGGGAGCCGAAAGCCAGCATGAAGCCAATGAAGAGCCAAACTCGAGCACCTGCAAAGAGAGATAAGAGCGGGTGGGTTACCGCGGGCAACATGGTACAGCACTTCATGATTAGTCTGCATTTAAAGTAGCAGGGAGAAGTTTAGGAACATTAAAGTGACTGGTTTGGGGCTTTTAATGACTACTCAGAATTGTTTTTTTAAATCAAGAGTGGAATGATTATAAAACAAATAGAATGACTTTGAAAGGTGATGTTTTAATTCAATCTTGAGGTTTCCCTCTTCCAAACAGACTCAAGGAACAGTGCAGACCTCAATAGTACTATTGTAGAGTTACAACTGGGAAAGTGATCTGGACTCATTTCTAAACAACAGTGGTTTGATCAGTTCAAACTACTGTAGTACCAGCCCTAGTCATTTAAACTCATCAACATCTCATCAGGGCCTGTAAGAAGATCTAGAGTGTCACCTTCAGACGAAAGGAAAATATTTAACATGCTCACTTCTAACTAGAACTGAATGTGTACACATGCAATCAAGTTTAAACCTGCCAATGTGATTGGACTGAATTGAGTCTGTATATGAAATGGATGTTTGTTTTAGCAAAGGCCTTAAGTCAACATTCATTGTTAGTCAGAGCTATGTACATATACTGGATTGTTTAAAGATTACACTAAAAGCTGGTAGTTCCCACACCAGAAAGGCTGCAAAAATGTAGAATTATACCAGAAATTGAATTTAAAAAGTGCAGTAGATTAAATTCATTAAAGATATTTTCAAATCCATACTCAAAGTTGTTTTCCCCTCCCATTTACACAAAAAGGGGGTGAAAAGCAAAAAAAAAAAAAAATGAATAAAAGACAAGATTCGAGTTGCAAAAAAAAAAAAGAAAAGACTCATCCATGTACTAACCCGTCTGTCCAAGGCATCCCTCACTGTAGCTGTCTCCCCTCACTTGGCCGTTAGAAACAGCATTTATCCTACACAAGGCAAATAGAACAAGAGAGTTAAAGACAATGATCTCAGCCGTTTATAAAAATACGTAAACATGAAGGTTTCAAACCCAACCCGAAAAATCTGATGTCAACGAATCTCATTTATGGACGTTTCCGCCTCATAGAAAGTTGCCCTGGAATTTGATTTTATTAAGTTTTCAGAAATTTTGAGCAACGTGGTGAGAGATATCACATCTATGCTGTTCATGACAAACAGCAAAGGTCGTTACCATTAATGGCTGTGCCAATCTGCATCTAAACACCAGGTACCCTGACTAGAGAAAGGGGCTCTGGAGATACACAAACAACACATACTAATCACATGACTGAAACTGCAAGATGAAGTCATGTGACGAAAGCTACCACTCATCCATGACAATAGGGAATAAGAAAGTAATTAAAAATAGAGATTCAAGCTTCCAAAACACCATATAATGGAGCTTTGAGAGATTACTTTTAATAAAAGTATAAAAAAGACCCTCCACTTACATGAGAAAGGCCACCGTGGCTATGACCCCACATGTATGATAGGCATGATGAAACTCTCCCTCGGTGGGATATTTCACAGCAGCATCAATGATGATCCACCATCCTGTGAAAAACTGCAAAAACAAGATACCCTCAATGCTTGATTGCCGACATGAGATCACTACGAAATCTTCCTCGTCATTATTACACACACTTAGATCAGTGTTTTAGAACATGAAAACAAAGGTAAAACAAACCCAGTAGCTCACACTACCCTTCCCACAACATATACGATTTGGACAAAAGAAATCATTGCAAATACCAGAACTCCAGCAGCTATGGATGCGATGGTATTTCTTCTCTCCCCCCAGTCCACATTGCACTCACAGTCTCCGCAACGGATTCCGTCCAGAAATCCTGACATGACTCTGGAAAAAATAAAAAAAACAAAAACAAATAAAGAACAGAAAATAATCCACAAGGATACATTACATTGCTTAAAAGAAAGAAATAAACGAAGCAAAATACACGTTAAGATTGGGGGAGAGAAAGCAATAAATACTTTACTGCGCAGTCGCTGTACAGTAAATACGATGCTAAACCCAGTTCGTACAATAGTACTGTACCTCAAGATTCATAGTCTAAACCAATATGTTTCTAACACCGATGAGACAACTACACAGTGAATGAGTGGGATTTTACACAGTAGAAAATGATAGTATTTTCAAAAGACAAACCTCTGTTTCTAATGTCTCTTTTGTTCGTCGCTTTAACGCTAGCAAACATTTCCTTGAAGGTTTCTTGTTATAAAGTTACGAAAAATAGTGTCATAATTAGGACTGGCAACGATAATGACTGACGGAAACATGCGTAAGCGAGTTACAAGTAATATTTAAAGTGAGTTTCAGAGATAATTTACCTTTTTATGTTCGGTTTTTGATGTCAAGCCTTTGGTTTAACCCGACTTGGCTTCCGACAAGAAGCGCTCTCGTGCACATGCGCAGTACATCCACACCCAAGCTTTGTTCATTCTGTTGCCTTCAAGCACCCTGCAGAAAATTAGATTTTTCTACCGCAATGCAATAAACGTAAAATACAAATTTGCAAAAATAAATCAATAAAGTTAACGGACAAATAAAAGGAAAGACATTAAATTGTACCACATGATATTTTATTTTCTTAGGAATATTATATATTTGACAAGTGGTTTTCCTTTAACTCAAGCTTTTGTGTCATAAATATCCTAAGTCATAAATCAGTGATTCTTGAGAATAGGGACAAAACGGGTCCTATTGATAAAGCAGCAAAATTTGAATAAAATATACACAAAATATATTTTTTTCAAATATCTGACTAAACTAACCTGGGTCATGTGAGCACAACAATGGATATTTTCCTGGTGTTCGCTGAATATTTTTTATTTTAAACATTGTAGTAGGTGGATGGTTTCTGTAATATCCCTTGTCCTGGAGCAGAACTCAATACATTATAATAGTTTAAAACAATTAAAGAAATACTAAAATTATATATTATGATAATTAAGTACAAGTAGTCATATAAATAATTATAAAAGTATCGATAAATTGAATTAAAAACCATTTTTAGATATCTTCCAACTCCGTTGAAATTTGTCCCTAGTTTTTGTCAACACCGTCAGACATGAAAAGAATGTAAAAAAAAAAAAAAAAAAAATAAGGCATTATTGGGGGGCACCAGAACTTCTGAGGACCCCATGATGTTGTCTTTTATCTTCCTTTGCTAAGAGGGCTAGTTAGCTCTGGTTAGCTTAAGTTATTCTTTAGCTTTTTCTTCTGTTTTATTCCTAAGTTGCTTGTCACAACCATGATGTGTCAACACCATAGCTGACAATTTACAAAACTTTGATGAAATTTTGTGAAATAAAAACTTAATTTTGGTATAAAATAAAGATTTCATGGACCTGATGAGCTACAATATGGCCTCCTTCAGAATAACATATAAATTGAGGTAGTTTGGCTTTTTGTCAACTCCATCAGAGTTTTTGACTCTTTCAGTGAAATTGTTGTCAAATCTCACTTAAATGTGCAATTTATTCATTTGAATATATTTTACATAAATTGCATTACTTCACATGTATCAAGTTTTTCATTTTACTCACTGTTTGTCACCACCTTCAGTTCTGTGTCAACTCCGTCAGATGGACTTTTTGTTGTTTTTTGTTTTAAATAATATTTCTTTTGTTTCTTGAGAAGCATTTGTCTGTAAAAATGAGTAAAAATATCACTAATAGGATGGTGATGACAAAGTTCTGGGTCAGGTCAATTAAAAATTTAATTTTTTAAAAAATGTTGCAACTGGGAGCCTGCACCTTAGCATCTTTACATTTCCAAAACATTATTTGTCATATTTGCATACATAAGGTTGAGAAATAATAATAAAAAATTGGGAAAATTAAAACCCATTTTGTCCCTATTCTCAAG